CAAGAGGTCTTGCAGAACACCCCATCTCAAACTACAGAAGTCAATATCCATTAGGAGACAAAATCTAGAGAGTTCTAAAAGCAAGAAGCCAACTGCTCTAACGGGACTCACATGAGAATGTGCAAAACCTCATTAAGGTCTCAGTCAGGCATGGAAGTTAGGTGAAGAGATCAAAGGAGAAGAAAGAAGCAAAAAAGACTGCTGATGACAGGGGTACCAGGAAAGGTGAAATTCCATGGACAAAGCTACCTGACAACCAGTAAAGACAGACTGACAAATTATGGACGAACAGAAAGGAAAAAAAGGCAGAAAGGTGATTCACTGTATGAAAGCCAGGAGTAAAGGAGTGGTGGATGCACCAATGACAAAAGACTTGCCACATTCATTGACAGAAAAACATGGTGGAAGGGCAACAGGAGTGTGATAAGAAGAATTCCACACAATTGGAAATTCCAGTCCAATAGATGACAGATCGATCAAATCCATGCATGAAGATGAAGAGGTGCTATCAATAGGACTTGACAAAGAGAAGATCCAAAGGAGGAGACAATGAGGGGAGTAAGCATATAGAAAGATGAGACCAAGCCTGGTTGAGAGCATCAACAGTCAGAGTTGAAGGATGAGTAACAGGGAATCAGAAAAGAGGAAGCCTAGAGTTGAGAAGAGTGGCAAAAGTGTCTTTAAGGTGTGTGCCCAACCAAGAGCAAATCCAACGAAAGATGTGGGGATGTAGAGATCACTCCCTTGGTAGAATGTGGACTGGCTGAGAGAGACAGTCCACTACCAAGGTCTTAGTTCCCAACAGATGACAGATAACAAAAGAAACCCAATGTGCATGATTCCAGAAGAGTATGTCCAATGCCCAAAAGTAAAGAGTACTGGAACAGAACTTTCCTTGATGGTTTGTGAAAGAGCTGACTATGAAATTAACTGAGTGTATCATGACCAAGTGATTCATCAGTACAGTCAGGAATGGGAACTTGACCAGTCGACAGTGAGAAGTTCAAACACTCGGATGTGGAGTAAAGGCTCATTCTGCATATAAGTGCCAGAAGTCATGTCCTCATTCAGATGTGTGTCTCAATCAGAGAGGAGAGCATCGGTGAAGAGATAGAGCTTGTATGAGAGTCAGTAAGGGAAGTAGTATGGTCATAGTCCAATCACTATGACAATTTCTCGAGAAGAGGATCACAAATGAGGACCATAGAACTAAATAAAGAATCCCATGGATCTGCAAAGTCGGTTGGAGGAGGTATATATGTATGTGTGCCCACTCGAAAGGAATAAGCAGTTCCAGGGAAGCTAAAGTCTTCAAAAGCAAAATAAACTATTGTGCAGAAAAAGAATGAGAAACACAAAATCTGGTGACAAGATACACCATAGCTTACAGGCAAATAGGAGTGAGCTGAACTCTGGCCAAGACAAGAGATGAAGAAAACACTTAAAACTACCAAATACTGAGTGAGCATGAGAAAGGACTTCGATCTCATGACAAGCTCCCCTAACTGAGGAGCCTCCTATGTAATACCTTTAGGTATGAAAAGAAGAAATAATCTGAGAATGAGCCAACAGAAGTCAAGCATCCAATGAAAGGAATCCAAGCCCTGGGCCATGAATATGGCAAGTGAAAGCCTATATGATATCAATGAATACTAAAGGGGCCATTGGTATGTCGAAGAGAAGAGCAAGGAATGGGGAGATTCAAAATTGATGGATGGAACATAGAAAATATATTAAGGACAGGCCAAGAGTGATGTATATAGGTATCTGAAACACTGACCATAGCCAACTGCAAACCGAGTGAAAAAGAATATAGACGGAGTTGGAGGAGGCGAAAAGCAAAAAGAAGAGAAGCAAGGATAAAGACCAAAGTGGAGAAATGAAAAATTACTATCGGCAGAAAATGAGACCAACAGCAGTAGAAGAAATGGGTACCCACAGGGTCAGATGTGACACAACAGTCACTGACAAAAAGAGAAATGAATTAGATGCTTGGTAGAGGAAGAACAAAAAATGAGAAAGGCCAGGAACCTGGAATAGGAAAATCAGGGGTAGACTGATCCAAATGACGAACAGGAGTAAAGGGCAAGGTCGAGAAAGAAGAAAAACCTGGGAAGATAATGAGTACTGAAGCTATACAATGTCAGTCCAGGTTTCCAGAGAGAAATGCCCACCATTGAAGGCATCAAAGAACAAAGTAAGGAGGAATAGAGCAAAAGAAGTGGAACAGGCTAATCTGGAAAAGAGAAGTGAACAAACTTTTACAGAAAATCCACCTGAAGCATGATTAAGTGCCTCAGGCAAAAGGTGGTTGTAGGAGAGGGAACGCAGGAGGGCAGTGGGGAAAAAACTAAATGGAAAAATGGGGATTCAAAGAGCAAATGAGAAGGTTAGGGGCCTGATCTCCAAGCTGGCCAAATAGATACCAAAGACAAGGAATCAACAAAAGGAACAAAAGGAAAGGAAGAAAGCCAACAAGCCAAGACAAAAAGAGTCACATACATGAGGGTGATGAGGCATTTGGATGTGAAAGAGGAGCTATTAGAGAAAGGAAACAGTATAATCCTAATAACAACCAAGGAGGAAAGACAAGGTAAACCCCAAGAATTGTGGATCATGCAATACTAAAAACTAAAGATAATAAAGGATACAGGCAAAAGATAAGAAAAGAAACCTTGAAGAGTGAAGCACTATCCAAAGCAAATCAAATTAAATAGGTAGTCCAATAGATCATTCCCAGTGAGAAAGAATTTCAGCTAACAGGACAGGAATAGAAGACCCAGTAAGTATGGTAATTAACAACACATTGAACAATGGTGGCAATGTCCCCAACAGTTAACGAGCTTCCAGAAGCCATAGTAGAAATAAAGCCTTTGTGTGGATAACGTTACTCACACAGGACTAAGCATAGGTCCCCATCACTTGAGAATTTGTGATAAAAAATTAAAGCTTTTGAAACAAAAGCCAAAGAAAATCAAAATGTTGTTAATAATGCAAATCTCAACAAACTGAACTCAGGTAAGAAACTTGAAATACATCTGTTCAATACAATGCTGAGGAGAAGAATGAAGTTATCACAAGGGGAGTTAACGTGTACAGAAGTTGTGTCATCCTCCTATTGGTGGAAATATGGTGTTTCCACATAAAAAATGAGTTGAGAAAGGTCTATGACAGTTCTCCAATCTCCTGTTTTTTTTACTGGAACCACAAAGAAACTGGAGTAAAAACTTGGAAAAGTGTAAGAATCCATAATGAAAGCTTTTTTTAAGGAAATCTGAGACTTCCTGATCAACAACTTGTAAGCAAACAGGAACAAAATGAATAGGAAAAGACACTGGTTGAACAAAATGAGGAAATGAAAGTAAAGGATCTGTTAAACCCAAGGGTATCAGATATGGGAATTGTCCAAAACTGATGAGTGTCAATGAGTTGGTCAAAAAGGTACACCCTGCCTGCTTCTATGTTTGGCCACTTGAAATGGTTGAAAGGAAAGAGTAGAAGTAGACAAGAGAGGCAAGACAGAAGAACAAACACAACTTGCTGTTCATCTAAAAGAGAGATAATGAGCAGAGGTCAAACAAGATGCTAAAACTCTAATCAACTCCTGCTGGTATGTATTTTCCAAAAAGGACAAAAAAAAAGACAAAATAATGCAGGAAAGAAGCTACTTTTGATATCAGCTAAAATACTAGGGGAAGACGAGTACATTGCAACACAGCCCAATATACTAAGGTGTCAAAGGAACACAAGAGGTACATGATAATAGAAACTACTTTAGTGAGATCCACAAATAATGAAGCCTAATATAGAAATAAGATCCTGATTAAAAGAATCAGGAGAATGCAAAAAGGTAATAATGGCATACAAGAAAAAGAAAAAAAAAGGTCTTAAAATAGGCCAGAAAACTGATGACAGTCAAAGTAGAACTCATGGAAGCCCCCACCCCAAAAACAAATAATCTGAGGGGCAGGACCTTGAGAAATAAAGTGGTAGTAGATGACCCTGCTAAAAGGTCACACACATGATAAATGTATGGAATATAAAGAATATAAAGATTATTAAAATTTTGTTGATTTCTAAAAGAATCAATCAGGAACAATCTTAATATCAGAAGAAAGTGGAAGAAATAAAGATTCCAGAACCAAATCATTTAATGTGACATCATCACCATCAGGTATAATAGAAATTGTTTCAAGATTTAACATCGAAGATACCTGAGAGAAAATTCAAATCCAACCAGCATAAGCATCTTCAGGATTACGTTTAGCACACAAACACTGCTCTACAGACATTGAAGATGAACAGGCCTGAGAAAAAAAATCTATCTTTTTCCAAATCATGAAGAAACGGTGCACATTCTGCAAGTTGAGCATCTATATGATCAAGAAACCCATTCAGGATAACAGCAGAATGTTCGGCATTAATGGCCCAAATAAACTGGTCAAAGACAGCTGACAGTGCAGCCTCAGGATCTTCCTGTAAACTAAAGGCAGAATGTATAAGACAGAAAGTATAGCTTATAAAAGATTTCTTATTGCATGTGCGATAAGTCACATGGAATATGGGAGAGTACATTGCTTTGAGAACATTCAGAGCTTTGAGTCACATGATTGTTGACAGCATAAAAGTAACTAAATAAGGAAAGGCCTTCAGTATTTTGGAGGTAAATCTAATTTGAATATGTTGAACATGTAAAAAGTTGATTTTTTTAATGAAATTTTAGTTTCTCAATTTAAATTTATACCATCTTTTTTTTTATATCTGACAAAATTAGCTCCACTACTTTTTCCCCCTTGCAACTGTTACTTCTAACATCACATCAAAATTTATATACAAAAAAATAAAAAAAATTTAACTTCAAATTCATGGCATATATGAAAAGTTTAACTACAGGAATTATTGCGATGTTTATTTTATACACACAATTTTAACACAAGTGTTAGACAAAATAATAAAAACTTGCCATCCTTAGTTGGACAGATCCATCCCAACCAAGCCATCAACTGGCAGCCATTACATATTCCAAGGCTAAATGTATCATGTCGGCTGTAAAAAGCTGTAAACTGACTGTTGAGCTCCTTATGAAATATAAGGCTTCCTGCCCACCCTGTTGAGAGAAAAAACAAAAGCACTGCTGTATAAACTAAAATTTTATTACTTAAAACAGAAAATGAAAACATTTAAGATTAGAGCAGTAGCTCACAAGATGTGTGTGTGTGTGTGTGTGTGTGTGTGTGTGTGTGTGTGTGTGCTTTTCAATAAGTATTCTTTATTTTATATTTCGCTATGTTGTTATCAAAACTATTTGGGCAATTTAATACTTGACACACAAAAAAATGTTTAAACAACAGATACCCATGTTATTTGTTTAACTTACATGCTTAATAATTACTGACTTATCCATATAAGTTGTACATGTAATACTTTTCATATTAATCTCAACAAATTGTCATATTTGGAATACAAAACTTTACTCCATTGTGCTTGTTGAAAACATACTCAGTTTTTTAAATAAGTATATTATTTCCTTTAGAATTAATACAATAATACAAAACACAAGTATTACCACCAAGAAAGTTGCATACTCTAATTTCACTGGTTCAATACATACATCTTAAGCATTCTAGTTTTTGCTGTTTTATGAAATAATAACAATTTTATGTTACCGGTAGAAATTAAATTTTTTTAGAAACCTAAACTCTTAACTCACGTGTAATCACAATCAAACTTTGAACTAATTTAAATTCAATAAAATCTACCTTTAGCTGATCCAAGAACATCTGCAAAGCTAAAACCACCTGGAAAAACCAACCCACGAAACTTGTTTAGAGAGATATCACCTCTTAGTAGATCTGTCATGGTTACATCCCATACATCAAATCCAACCATATGTAGAGCTGCTACCATCTCACGATCTCCATTAGTACCTTCTTCCCGAATAACTGCTACTTGAGGTTTTGATAATACTAAAATACAACAAGAAATCAATCTGTTACTGGTACAAGTTCCAAACAATTGAAGTAGTGTTAATTGAGCAGGCTCATTATTGAGTTTAGCACACATTCATGATAAATTTCATATTAACTTAAGAAGATATATTTAACACTAAACTATTGTTGCTACTTTTACATTTTTTTTTAATCGTATCACCCCAGGTACCCTTTACTGCTCATGACACAAGGTTTTAGTGTCTTACATTAAAAATTTTATTAAACTATTTTTGTTTATGTTATACCTATTAGAATAGCATAAAATCTTAGCTAATAATCCATATTTTAATAGTATACAAGAAGTATAATCCATATTTTAATAGCATACACATCTTAAGTTCTTAATTCTACAAGGCAATATTTAAAAAAATTCTGAATTTCCACTAGTTTTACCCACGCAATACATTTTCTCTGAGTATGTCATCATCCCTATTTTATCCACCACCCCTCAAAAAAGTATAGAAATTAAACATAAATTACTCTCTATAAAATCGTTATTGCTCAGACAAACCATAATTTTTACAGCCTT